TGTGTCCCCATGCCTGGGAGGGGGGGGGGCAGGAGGACCCTGGTCTGGTCTGCAGGTCACCACCCACCTATCCCAGAAGTTGGACCCAGTGGCTCTGCCCAGGACCGCAGAGCTGATGCCCAGGGGGTAATTACGCCATCGTTCTTCTAATTAAAAGCAGAAGAGAAGAAGGTATGGCATCCAATCAAGCCCCTTTGGCTTCCCCAGTGGAATCCTAATTTGTGGAGTGGGTTTAATTGTTTTTCCAGGGAGGCCAGCCCAGCTCACTCGGGCCCTGGGGCTGGAGAGGATGACAGCGTCCTTCTCCAAGTCTCTAATGACTCCCAGCCCCCTGGGGAATGACTGCACGCAGGCTGCTGGTTCAGGGACTGTGGGGGAATTCTCCTGAGCCTGGCAGTGGATGCTAACTTGGACATGGGGCAGGGGCAGGACCAGGATGGAGGCTGTGCAGGGGTGGTTTTCATTGGGTCAGAGAGAGGAGTGCTCTGCTGTAGACTCCAGAATTTGACTTCAGCTTAACTGTGGATTTCCTCTGTGGCAGAATGGGGCCAGCGATGGTCACCCCTGCTTGGCCAGAGCACGAGGAAATGGGGGTTAAGAGTTGAATTCCATGGCTGGTGCCAGGCAGGCAGCCTGGGTTTCTTAGAGATGATGATGATGATTGTCTCATCATCATCAACCTCGTCATTGTCATCACAACCATCGAAACACGCACCTGTGCCCTTGCAGCTCTGGGGGTTGAAGTGGCGATCTCACTCACTCGGCTGAGTTGGGTGGGTGAGGTAGGGCTGTCCACTTGCAGTGCAGAAGAGAGGAACTGAGCCCCGTGGGTCCTGGCAGGTGAGAAGGATGCAGGAGGTGGCATCTCTGGCTGAGCTGGGCCTGGTCCTTCAGACCACATCCCAATGGGGGCTCGCAGACTTGTGGTTCCTGGTTGCAGCTGCTGGGCAGACCTGGGTTCAGGGGCAACTTGGTATGACCATGCCTGTACCTTGCCTTCCCCATCTGTCAGGCAGCTGTAGATTTAAGAGTATCTGAGACGGGCAGGCAGCAGGTGCTCAGCATATAAAGTGGAATTTATTAAGACACAAAGCTCTCTGACCTGCCTCCTTCCCATCTTGGCTCCCACGCTTTCTGTTGCCAGGTGCACATAGCTCCACTATCCTTCAAGGTTTGGCTTATGTGCCACCTCCTCTCTGAAGCCTTCCCAGATTCTTCCCTTCCCCAGATGTAGAAGGCTCTGGGCCGCTGGAGCTCTCAGAACCAGCAGGGTTAACCTCCTTGGTCCAGAGGAGCACTCTGAGGCCCCAAGAGATGAGCAGTTCTCCCAAGGTCACACAGCAGGTCTGGATTCTCCCCCTTCAGGCCAGGTCTGCCGTTAAAGGGCTGCCTTTTCACCTGTGCAGGCTTCTAGGGAGAGACCTTGGACAGGGCTGTGTGGGGCGGAGCCTGGACAGGCCCTTCTGCTAGTTATGAATGGGAACACATCAAGTGACCCCAGTCCCAGTTTCCTGCTTGCCCTGTGTCCCCTAAATTAGAGCTAGTGGGATCCTCAGGGGAGCTCTCCACCGCAAGTCTCTGTTGGAGCCTGAAACAGCAGGGGCTTCCTGGGACAGGAGCCCCACAATGGGGTGGAGGGAGAGCCTAACCATTCTGGCTCCCAAAGTCCCAGCTCTGAACAAAGACCCTCCCTGCCCTGTAGGGTGGAAGTGGTGGTGGGGTACAACACCTCTTGCAGGAAGTCTTCCTGGATTGCCTGGGCCTGTCTAGGTCTTAGCACTCGGTGTGAAGCAGATTGTCCTGCCTGCCCCAGGACCCACGTGGGGACTATTCCTTGTGAAAAAAAAAAAAAAAGTTTTGTGAATGAAAAGGATCCCAATCTCCTGGGAAGAGTTTGGACTCAGGTTCAAGTTTTGACTCTGCTGTGCCGGGCCACAGGGGACCAAAGCAGCCCTTTACCACCTGCTAGGATGACCGCCTCGGTGGCCCCAAGCCCTGGGGGTGTGGCTGGCCTAGATGGAGGTGTTCTGTGAGCATGTGAAAGCCACTCCTGATTCAGAGACTCCGCGCAAAAAAGAATGTAAGATGTCTCATTAGTGCTGCTTAGTACATGGTGAAATAATAATTTTTTTATATCGTGGGTTAAAAATGCATTATTAAGATTAGTCTTACCAGGTTTTTCTTCTCACTCTGTCTCATGCGACAACCAGAGGATGGAATGTTCTGTGGTGCCTCTGGGCAGCATTGCTCCGTTTCTGATTCTGCTGGCCATGCCACGAGAAGCCCCCACCTGGGCTTCCTGTGCGGAATGGCCGCATCAGGCTCCAGGGTTCTGTTCTCTTAGGGGTTGGGAGGCCCTGGCAGAGACTTGGGGTTAGACCTCACTGAGCCCTGCCTGCTGGGACAGCTGGAACCAGATCCTGCGTCTACCGATTCCCCACCCCAGCCTTCACTAGGAGTGCAAGGAGCGGGTGGGTCCCGGGGCCGGGTGTCCAGGCAACCTTGGACCTGTGGGCAGAGCAGGGACAGAAGGAGGCTGGGCTTCTCCACAGGTCATCTGGCAGAGCCTCTACCAGGACAGCCCTAGTCCCCCCCCCCCCGCCATTCCTGGCACCCGCATGAACTGCTCCCCATGTTCTGTTGCCAGGCGTGGTCCTGGGAAGGACTGGGGTGCAGTCTTGAGCCCCCTCTCTGGTCTGGCCCCTGCCTGGCTCAGCCATCCAGGGCTGAAGAGGGCCCAGAAAGGCCTGGCCCCTGGCTCAGGGCGGGCATTCTCTGGTTTTGATGGCTCAGGCAGTGGCACTAGGGGGTCTGGCCATGTCTGTGCCACTGTCTCAGATCCAGCAAGGGGACTTTTCCTTCTCCCACTTCTCTTTCTCTCTCTCTCTTTTAAGATTTATTTGTTTTTATTTTAAAGGCAGATAAGATTTACAGAGAGAAGGAGAGACAGAAAGATCTTCTGTCTGCTGACTCACTCCACAATTAGCTGCAATGGCCTGAGTTGAACTGATCAGAAGCCAGGAGCCAGAAGCTTCTTCCTGGTCTCCCACACAAGTCCCACACTTGGACTATCCTCTACTGCTTTCCCAGGCCACAGCAAAGAGCTGGAGGGAAGTGGAGCAGCAGGGGTGCGAACTGGCTCCCATATAAGATCCCGGTGTGTGCAGGGCAAAGATTCAGCCACTGAGCCATCATGCCGGGCCCTCCAACTTCTCTTGGCACAGGTGCTCGGCAGAGGGATAGGCACCAAGGCAGAACCTGGCATCAGGGGCAAGGAACCATGGCTCCCTCCAACTGCTTCTCCATGGCCCTGCTGCATTTTGCAACACAGGTGTCAGAGAAGGCTTTAAGGGTTGAGGTCCCTTGGCACTAGCCCCTCTTCACTGCTGCCCATCATCTCTATTCATACCTGCAACCATCCATTTAGCCACAAAGCACTTCTCGTGGGCTTGTCCTCTGCCGAGGCTGTTCTGGTTACTGGGAACCTGTCAATGGACCGGACAGGCACCCATCATCTCTTGACTCCAGGAAGGGCAGGCAGACAGCACGCCGATGGGTATGTTACATATGCCATGACCTACACATGGCTGTTCCCATTGACACGCACATGAGTTAAACTGAAATGGAATCAGAAACTCGGGTCCATGTCAAGTGTTCAGCAGGTATATGCGACCACTGCATTGGCTCAGTCCTTGTCCCATCTCATCCCAAAATGGTCTGTGTCAGTTCTGACCATGTTGGAAAGGAGGGGTGACTTAGGGTGCTGGGTTTTGGGAAGGGATGCAGAGTCCATGAGGTGGTTAGGATAAGCCTGGGGAGGTCCCGTGGGACAATGTGCAAACTTTGATCTTGGGGTCGGGGGTGCTTCACACTTTCTGGGGCCCAGACACTTGCTGTTTGGTGGAGGCTCCATGTGGGGCCCCCGCTCCAAGCTGATCAGTAAGGGCAGAGAGCCTGGAGGAGCTTCCCCAGTGCCCAGCAACCAGAACCCTGAGGCTGTTGGGGCAAGAGGATGAGACAGGGAAGAGGCCATCTCCCTGCCCTGGACAGTGCTCTCCATCTTGTCCTGACTGAACTGAGCAGAGACAGATGGAGGCGAGAAGGAACCCCTGGGGTCAATATGTTGCCCTTCTGCCCACCTGGTTGAGAGCAGAAGGGAGTGGAAGGGGCTAACAGTTCCTGAGTGACCTGTGCACCTGCTGTTTCCAGTGAGGGAAGCGGAGTGGCGTCAGCTCTCTTGCCAAGAGAGGAACATTAGGAAGAAGACTAAAACAGAACAAGCTGGGGAGGGGCTGGTCCAGAGGAAGTAGGGCCTTGTGTTTTTGTGTTACCTGGTGATATGATGGAGCAACAGATGGGGTGGGGCTTCTGTGTTGGGTCTTAGGGACACTGGAAATTGGGGGTACCCTGAGAGGGCAGGGACCTCTGCTTACTTTGTACCCACTCTCAAAGTGGTGGCAAATGGTGGACACTATGGCCATACACAAGGCCTAGGTGGATCAAAGGGGTCTGCTCACAGATCAGACCGGAAACTGATTGGGGCAAGAGGGTCTGAAGCTTCACCTGGCAGGACCCGGGCAGGAGTCCAAGTTCTCCACTGGGTACAGTGGGAGGGCTCTGGGCAGGGGAAGGAGCAGGTGCAATCAAGCTTGATCAAGATGCTGCACAGGTCTGGGAATAACCGAGTGATGGAGGATGGGGGATTCTTGGGCATTGGGCTAGAAGAATCTAGAAGTGATGAAATTGGCAGCCCCCCTCCCTGGCCTCCTAGCTTCTGTCACCCCCCGCAGAGGCCCAGCTGTTTTTGTGGCATCCAGAGCCCAAGATCTCTTGCCAGCTGCTACTGGCCTATCTCCCCAGGTGCGCGTCTGGACCCAGGCCAGCACCACCTGCCCCGCCCCTCCCTCTAACCCTTTGGCTGGCCCCGCTGCTTGCACCTCCCTGACCCTGACGCCTGCTTTGCTGACTGTGGGACAACTGCTCCTTTGTCTCCTGCACAGCCCTGTTCACAGAGACGCCCCACGACATGACAGCACGGACAGGCGAGGATGTGGAGCTGGCTTGCTCCTTCCGGGGCAGCGGCTCCCCCTCCTACTCGCTGGAGATCCAGTGGTGGTACGTGCGGAGCCATCGCGACTGGACCGACAAGCAAGCGTGGGCCTCCAACCAGGTACTGCCCTGGGAGACGCTGAGGGGCTGTGAGCTGTGTGTGCGTCCTGCCTGTGTGTACCACACCCCTGCCCGCTGTCTGTGCCTGCAGCTCGTACTAAGGGTTTATTCCACACACAGTAGAGCCTGCAGCTGCTGGCAGAACAAACAAGAGGAGTTAGGAGCCAACCCAAAACTGACAAGGTGTCGGGGGGTAAACCCACCAGCTCCCTCGTCCCTCCGCTGGTGTGACTGAGGAGTGTTCTGCTCCCTTTCCCAGCCATGTCCAGCACGGAGAGGGACCGAGCTCCAGCTGCCTGCAGTGGGAACTGCTGGGTAAACAAACGCCTCCCATGCCCAGCTTCCCACCCTTCCTGTCTCTTTCCATTACATTTTCCTGAGGCCACCTCCCCGGTAATCTACTCACACCTGACATTGTCTCTAAGTTGATTTGGAGGCACTCCATCTAAAATACATGGAATATGCAAGCACTTGCATACCCACCTTTCGGGCATCTGTGAACACAGGTAGGTACACACATTCACATACACACTGCACCAGGCTGCTACATGCCCTCCGTGCTTAGGAGCAAGCCACTGGCACACACAAGGACACTGTGGCCTGTCCAGCTCCTGGAGGTGGCCTCACAGGACTCCGATCCTCTGATGGCTGCAGAGAGAGGTGCAGGTGTTTGCAGCTGCAAGGTCAGCTTGCAGGAGCATAGTATGTGGGCTGGGCCCCAACAGTACCCATCCCAAGCATACATTCATGGTCATGTGCATGAATGCTGGCAGCACACAGCAGCTTTACAGACATGCCTCCAGGGGACAAATCCAGTAAGCTCTTAGATTTTCACCGGCTCACACACCTACAGTTGTGTTTCCTTGTGTCTATTTTAGCTTCTTTTGTCCTGACCCCGGCCCCACTGTCCTCTGAGTAGACACAGAGAGCTGAGGGGTCCAATTCCAGGCTCCTGTCCCCAGTGGCACCGTTTATAGTCTTCCTTGGCCCCACCCCCACTCTTACTGTGCTAACACCTTGTCTCTGCTCTGTCTCTCCCCTTCACTCTCCCACCAGCTAAAGGCATCTCAGCAGGAGGACACAGGGAAGGACGCCACCAAAATAAGTGTGAGTATTTTTTTTTAAGATTTATTTTTATTGGAAAGCTAGATTTACACAGAGAAAGAAAAATAGATCTTTCATCTGCCGGTTCACTCCCAAATGGCCGCAATGGCCCAGAGTTGAGCTAATCCAAACCCAGGAACCAGGAGCTTCTTTTGGGTCTCCCATGCAGGTGTGGATCCCAAGGTTTGGGGCCATTTTTCTGCTGTGTAACCAGACCACAAGCAGGCAACTGGATGAGAAGTAGAGCAGCCGGGACATGAACCAGCGCCCATAGGGGATAAAGGCAGAAGGAGGTAGAAGATTAGGCAGTTTTGACAATGTCTGCCTTGCTGGACTTTAATGGAGAATACAGCAGAAACTTAAAAACAAAAAATGAGGAAGGGGGCAGGAGATTTGGTCAATCCAGGTCAGTAGGGAGCTTGGGTCAGGAGATGGAGGAGAAGAAAAGGGGAAAGGAGGAGAAGAAAAGGGGAAGGGGAAATGATGACCTGGCCTCCAGGGGGAGATGGGGACTCCAGGATGGGCTAGGCCACTGAGAGCTTGGCTCTATGGGACGGGCGCAGTACTCACCCATCCCACAGATGGGGCACGAAGGGGCCAGGAGTCAGACACTTGCCAGAGGTCACCCCAAGACCAAGTGGGGTTACTGAGGTCTTGGTCTCTGGGCGGCACCAGAGCTTGGGTGAGTTCAGGGACTTTTGGGGTGGGAGTACCCATAGCCAGCCCTCAGGGAGGCAGGAGGTGGGAGCAGGCTGGATTTGTGCATGGGGCTGTATCAGCCAGGCGCAAGGCTACAGTGAACTGCTGGTAAAAGCAGGTGCCCTTGGGAGCACAGGGTGTGTGTGTGTGTGTGTGTGTGTGTGTGTGTGTGTGTGTGTGTGTGTGTGTGTGTGTGTTGTGTTTGGTTCTTTCAAGTTGTTTCAAGGATTTGTGAGTGAACTCAGGAACCCAGGGCCAGTTAGACACAGGCATACAGCAGAACCAATCCAGAGATTGTGGTATAGAGATAGGGTACCAGGGGACCTGGGGTTGCAGACTTAGGAATCAGAGGAGCAGAGTGAAGGCTCCTACGACTGCTCCTGCAAGAGCAGGGAGGAGGCAAGAACAGAGGCCCACCTTCTCAGCATCACTGGTGCTGTGTAGCTTGTGATGCAGGTGGGGGTCTGGCCACATAAGCTGTGTCCAGCTCCAGGCAGCTACCAGTCCACTTGAAATGAACATGGTCTGCAAATCATACCAGGTCTAAAGTTCCATCACTTGCCCAAACACCCACTGGGTAAGCTCTGGTAGGAAGAGACATGCATACATTCACATGCATACACACACACACACACACACACACACACACATGTCTTCATCCCAACTCCCTGCTGTGATTTTGTTTGGGGTTTAAGGAGTAGCTCAGACTAAGAACGATCTAATTGGCTTACAGGATTAGAAGTCTGGGCTGCTGGGCTCCTTGCAAGGGGATGTGCACGTGCTAGTTAGTTACAGAAACTCATATGTCCGTGTGATTGCATCGTCATCGCTCCCCCACCAGGTGCACCTGCTATTCCGGCACCAGCCAGGGCACTGGTGGAGGAGGGGACATATTAGGAAATGTTCAGGCCCAGGCCCAGCTCCTCCTGCAGACAGCACCCCATGAAGGACTGCTCTCAGAGACAGATGCACCTGTGAGTGGAGACCTGGGCTCCTGCAGGCTGGCGAAAAGGCTCAGCTTCTCTTCCAGGCCATCTCCCCCTTCTAATGTACCAAAGCATGTCATCACAGCCTCCATTATAGGAAGGGTTGAGCACACATCCATTTTACAGGTGGGGCAGCCAGGCTACCCCTGCTCTCCTCCCCCTCCCAACCCCGGCAGCCTGTCTGCTCCTTGCTATTTCCCACCTGCAAGCCCTGACACAGACCAGTCCTTCTGCATCAGAACCAGCTCCCCTTTCTCTCATTTCAGAGCTCAGCTCTGGGAGTCTGCCCTGCAGGCTGTGCTCAGCCAGTGTCCATAGCCTCTCCCTGTGGCTGATTGCCCACTTGTGTGTCGGCTTCATGCCTTCCTGCCCCTGAGGTGGGGGCTGGGACTGTACCTGGTCAGTCCACTGTTAACATCTCCAGAGCCCAGCACAGAGCCTGGCACCAAGTAGATGCCCAGTAAATATTTTTTCAAGTGACTGTCATATGCACATGGACCCAGACCAAGTCACAGACATGTGTGTGCACGGGTGATGCCACTAGACATCATGGACCTTGGGGGATCCAAGCTGTGTATCCACAGGGGGCAGCTGAACAGGCAGCATCTCCATGGTGATTAGGGTGCTCACTCTAACTGCTGGGTCCTAATTTGATCTGAAAAACATGGTGTGGATCTGACCGTGCATTCTGCAGGCTGAGCAGTGAGCAGACCTAGGAACCCGCGAGTCTCCACTTCATGGTGAGGAAGTGCTAAGGGCTTCCAGGAGTCTAGTCCCAGGAGGGCTCTGTGAGCCCTCAAATCAAGTCCGGGTCTCACACTGACCTTGCTTGGGAAGGTCTGCCTCAGAGTCTTTGTCCTGCAGCCAGTAGGAGCCATGGGGTCGGCACTTGGCAGCCTCCCTACATCTGCCTTTCCTCTGGGAGCTGCTGGCTGAGGCTAACAGAAAAATGCTTTGGAAACTGTAGAATGCCATGGACACAGCTTTGTAAGTGACAGACAGTGCTCTGTGGCTCATCTGGAAACTTGCAAACCTGTTTGTGAACCCTCAGGTGCCTATCCCAGCACAAGGGCAAGTTAGTGTGGGGAAGGGCTCAGAGCCACGTGGAGGAGTCGTTTGTGTGGAGAGCATGGGTGTCTGGGATAATAATGATAAAAATAATAATGCTGAAATAGAGCAGCTAGCATTTACTGAGCCCTCATTGTGTCAGGAGCCATGAGGAGCACTTTCCAGGAATCAGCTACATAACGTGGGTCTGGGGGAGGTGCATAAAACCCATGATCACCATGATAGACAGAAAAGTTACAGCTGTGATCAGTAAGAGGCGTGCTGCTTAGAGGAGACTCAAGTTGGCCTGGGGGCCAGGTGGGCTTCCTGGAGGAGATGCTGTCTGCCATGAGGGTTTTTCATGGGGACATATGACAGCTGTGTGACTGTTGTAGAGGAAGGGTGGGGAAGTGCGGGGAAGAGGCTGGACTCACAACCTGATGAGAGGCCAGGGCCAGTGCAGGGGAGGCCAGTGCTGGGGAACGAGGAAAAGGGGCCGCAGGGAAGATCCACGGGAGTCCCCCGTGGGCTGTGCTGCAGAGGGAAGAAAATTGAGACAGTGACCCGGACAGGCAGACAAGGCTGTCTGAGACCTAGACTGTCTAGAAAACCCCTGCTTTGAGCTCTGGATGCACAGAGGGACAGGAGGGCTGCTGTTGGGGAGCTGCAGGGCAGGGTCTGACCTGGGACAGGGACCATGTGACCCCCACTCAGGGGGCTGCACAACAGCCAAGAGGCCACCATAGTGCCACCAATCTTCTTGGCAGGGCTGGGAGGAAAGAGCTGGCCCCAGGGCATCCCTGCAGTGCCTGGAAGGGGCCGGGAGGGAGGCAGCTGCGCTTGGCTGTAGCAAGGACTTGGCCTTGTCTCTTTCAGCATAATTAGGTGCTTAATTGCACTGCGCAGGCCTGTCGATGCCCGTGCCCAGGTGATTATGATTTACAGTCAGGCTGCCCTAGGACTCCCTCCACGTGGCCTCTCCAGCTGCACTGCAGGACTAGCTCGAGGGTTGCCTGTGTGGTCCCTAAGCCGCCAAGTACACACACAGAACCCTGGATGCTCCCGCCACCCCGAGGGGCAGGACCAGCTGGTACAGCCCCCACAGGATGAGGTTTGGGGCTGCCCTTGCATAAGACACAGGAGGGGGTTGGAGGTGGGGAATGGGACAGAACTGTGATTCTGTATTCCCCCAAGGTGCGGCAAAGGTCTGGTGTCTGTCACCAGCTAGATGGCCTTGGGAAAATCCTTTCACCTCTCCAAACCTCAGTTTTCCTGCTCGCACAGTGGGTGTCCTGGCTGTGCCTCCTCATGGGGTTGTTTGTGGCTGCGGTAAAACCACGAGGCACCTGCCCGTTGCCCCACAGTGAGGGTGAGAGTGGAGGGACCCCACTCTGCTGTGCTGTTCTGTGCCAGTCTGTAGATGGTGCACAGAGGGGCAGGCCCTGGGGCCTCAATGCACCTGTTTTTTCAGCCTTTGTGTGGCATCTCCATTAGACACGCAGGTGTTGCTGGGGTCTAGCTGGTCTATAGCTGTATGCCCTGCAGCCTGTGGGGCTCACAAAACATCTTTTGAATGAATGGATGATTCTGGCCTCTCCCACCCACCCACAGCAGAAAGCTGAGGTTGGGGTACAGGTGATGGGAGGGGTAGAGCTGGTCCCAGCACCCCTCCAGGCTCCCTGTTCCCCTCCTCCTCTCCTAACGGAAGGAACTCTTACTCTTAAAGCCACATCTATGTGCTGGAAAGTCATGGCCTCAGTGGCCCCAAGGGAGTGGAGTGGACTTGGGTGGAGCTGGGCCACACAGCGCCCCCTCCCCACACGCGCTGCTCCTAGGGCCGGGCATTAGTGCCCCATTAGCACCTTGTAGGGCTGACAAATGAAGGATAATTAATATCCATGAGGGAAACAGATGTGAGGTGATTCACTCCCGCTGTGCACTTGCTACAGCGTCGCCCGCCCGCCCGCCTCGCCCGAGAGAGTGGCAGAACTGGCAGGAAGGCATGGGCTGCAGCCGGGTCTGGCACTGGAGAGGGTGTGCCTGCCAGGAGCCTAATGGGCTCTCTCTGTTTATAAAAATCTCCCTGTCACCTATTTATTTGAGAGATAGGCACACAGACAGATATCTCACCTGCTAGTTCATCCCCCAAATGCCTGCTATGCAATGACCAGGGATGGCTGCAGCCAGGAGCCCAGAACTCAACCCCGTCTTCCAGGAGCTTGATTTCTTGAGCTGTCACCTGCTGTCTTCCAGGGTCCACTTCAGGGGGAAGCTGGAGGTGGGAGCTGGAGCTGGGACACAGACGCCAGCTCCTGTCATATGGCATAGATACGTGTATCCTAATCCGTATCTAAACTGCTGAGCCAAAGGCTGCCCCAGCCCCAATTCGTAAACTTCTGCACACAGAAGAGAGTATTTATGAACAGAGAGCGTTGTGCAAGGAGATGGCTTCCTGAGCCTCCCCCCAGTTCACTCTCACTGCTGTGCCATATTCCATGGCATGGTCCCATCACTGCTGACGCTCCGTTCTGTTGACGGATGCTCAAGTAGCCTCTCGTCTGTCTGCTGTGCAACTCTGGCTCCTGAAGGCATCCAGGGGTGTTCCTCTGCCAGACGCACACTCTTCTGTCCATTGCCCAGGTGGACAGGTCACACTGTCTTTCTGTTGCCCCCCAGGTGGTCAAGGTCGTGGGCAGCAACATCTCCCACAAGCTGCGCCTGTCCCGGGTGAAGCCCACAGACGAAGGCACCTATGAGTGCCGTGTCATCGACTTCAGTGATGGCAAGGCCCGGCATCACAAGGTCAAGGCCTACCTGCGGGTGCAGCCAGGCGAGAACTCGGTCCTGCACCTGCCTGAAGCCCCTCCTGCCGCGCCCGCCCCACCGCCCCCAAAGCCGGGCAAGGAGCTAAGAAAGCGCTCGGTGGACCAGGAGGCCTGTAGCCTCTAGCCTGACACCTGCCCCACCCCGCCTCGCCCCATCCTGGAGTGCAAGAGGCGCTGCTGGACCGTGGGGACGGGGCTGTCTGCGGCCAGCCAGCCACTTCCCTAGCCCCCAGGCTGCCCTCCGCGCCCTCCATCCTTGCTCAGCATGTAAGCTCCCACCCCTTCCCCCACCCTTCCCAGCCCTGCAGGGACCTGGTTCAGCTGGGAGGAGGTGGTCCTGGGCTCCCGGGAGCAGCCACTCTGGATGCTGGCAAGGTGAGGCAGGGGGTGGGGACCATACCGGAGCCCTGGATGCCCGCCTCCTTCTGCTGCCAGCTTCCGTGGAGTCCCATGTTTTGCTTTACCTGCTTGTCTCCTGTCCTGTCCTGAGCTGCCGCTGTCACCACCGGAGCCTCCCAGCCAAGCCCCCTCCTTCCTGAGGTTTCCCGTTCTGATCTGGGAGTGACCCCTCCCTGTATTTGGACTTGAATTTTCTGAGCAGAGCTAGGGCCCCTCCCTGGGTGGAGAGCTGGGGACGGTAGCCCCTTAGCAGGGTCGCTCACAGGGGTCCTGGGAGGGGAGCCCCATGTGCCACTGCCTCCGGCCGGGTTGTCCTGCTCGGCCTGACAGCTTGCTCTCAGACCCTCTCCTCCCCTCCTGCCCCAGGGAGAGGGGAACCAGGCATCTCTGACCCTCCCCTGCCAGCTCCATGCAGAGATTTGCACCAGCAGGACCCCTGCGAGGGTCTCTGAGGCTCCCTTAGGAGCCCCCTCTGCCAGCCCTCTTGGGACCCGTGCCCAGCACCCTGGAGGGGCTGGGGCTGTTGGGAGTCCAGAGCTCCCCAGAGCTGCCCGTCTACCAGTTCCCCTCCATTCCCCTTGAGGGACACCTGCCCCTACTGACTTGTAAATATTTCTTTGGGGCTCAAACCTCTGGCCAGCCTCTCGAGGATGGAGTGGGGCCTGGGGTAGAGGGAGGGCTTTGCCTAGGGGGAAGAGGGTATCCCTGTACAAATGATCCAATCGTGACTACCAGCCAACCTGAATAAAGTGGTTTAAAAACCCTCCAGGCAGTATTTTCTTCCGGGGCATGGGCAGGTGGGGAAGGGCTCAGCCCACACCTGGGCCAGCTGGACCTGGGACGGGTGGGGTGGGCAGAGGGGAGAGGGCACAGGAAAACCAGCTACGTGCAGGTCCTCTCCCATTACCAGGCACACTGCAATGCTAACTGAGCAACACAAAGGAATGCCGTTCTGACCTGGGCTCCAGGAGTGGGCAACCTTCATTCTGCCAGAAGCCATTTGGAGACTTATCATGTGCGGACCTTACAGAAACATCAACTTAAAAATTCACCTGCTATCGATTGGTTGAATTGTGGTCCTGCCTCTGGTCACCTTGCCATGATCACACCAGATGATGTCATGAGCCTCTCGCAGCCTGGATGGTTCCCCCACCCCCACCCCGCACTCCTGGATCTGTGCTGAATGACAGCAGGCAGACACAAGAAGCCACCCACCATGTGATTGTGTTTGCATGAAATGCCCAGAATAGGCCAACTCCAGAGAAACCCGAAGAAGGGTGGTCTGAGGAGGGGAGTGACTGCTCATTGGTGTCGCTTGTTGCTGAAGGGTGTGGTCTGAAATTGATAGCAGTGATGATCACACAGCTAACAGATAACCTGTTCACCAGAACATATTGAGTGTGTGCTTAGAGGGTGCTGCACGGGGTGTGGATCACACACTCAATAAAGCTGTTCCAAGAAACACAGTAGCAGGCACCTGGTGGTATGTGACTGTTAGATGAAAGTTGCAGTCCCCCTTGTCCTTGACCTCAGGACATAGCTGGGGTTAGTGGCTTGAGCAGGTGTGAGGGATGGAGATGTTAAACCTGAGGTTGGGGGAAGGCTGTGACAAGCAGAAAACCCAGGCCCTGCCCGCAAAGGCTCAGAAAAACCTTGGTGCCTCTCCCAGTTCATTGAAAGCTGCTTCTCCCTTTGTGCCCAGGATGGCAATAACCCCAGGTACAGGGAGCACTGGCTGTGGGTGTTCAGGCCCCTCTAGACTATTGGACACCCCGTTGCCAGGCTCTGCAGCTAGCTAGTGACCCTGAGGGGTTAGTGTGTAGTCACAGCACAGGAACATGTTCTGAGGTGTTGTCGTGGGAAGGTCCTGGGGGGTGCTGAGCCAGGCTGGCAGGTGGTGCTGCGGTCAGCGGTGTAGTCTGTGAGTGCCCCAGGTGCTGCTGGCCTGGTGTGGTGCTGTGTTGTATGCTCGACTGTCTACTGTGAGTAGGAGTGTATTCTAGTAAATGGGTGAGCCAGTAATAGAGTCGTTCACTATGATCAGCTCAGATGGGCTGTGTGGAACCGTGCTACATGTTTACACAACAGTCGGCTCACTCCAGCACCAGCGTAAGGTGTAACAGGTGGCACCACACCCTGTGATGGCTGCAGCGTCACTAGGTGATGGGGATAGTTCGCTCTGCTTTAATCTTGTTCACTTTGAAATCTTTATTTCTTTATTTGAAAGGAAGAGAAAGAGAGGTCTTTTATCCACACCTTCATTCCCCAAATGTTTGCCTCAACAGCTAAGGGCCAGGCCAGGCCCAAGCCAAGAGCCAGGAACTCCTTCTGGGTCTCCCATGTGAGCGGCATGGATCCATTGACTTGAATTATCATCTCATGCTCCCAGGCACATTAGTAGGGCCACAAAGTTCACATCCCACATTCTATTATAATATATATATATATTAAAGATTTATTTCATTTATTGGAGAGGCAGTTGGAGAGAGCTTGTATCACCCATTGGTTTACTTTTCAGATGACCACATCTACCAGGACTGGGCTTGGCTGAAGCCAGGAGCTTCATCTGAGTCTCCCACATGAGTGCCAGGGCCCATGTCCTTGGATTATCTCCTGTTGCTTTCCCAGGTGAATTAGCAGGGAGCTGGATTAGAAGAGGAGCAGTTAGGACTTGAACTATTACTCACATAGTACAGGTGGTGCTTATCCTGCTGTGCCACAGCACCGTACTTTCCTGCAGCCGCTATTATTTTATGAAATCATCGTCATTTTATGTATGAAGTCCATGGTCAGCTGAACCATCTCCATTTGGTGCATGACTATCTTGGCAATGGTTCTACATGGCTTTTTTTTCTAAGGGGTGTAGAATATTCCATTCTCATTCTCATGTGATTAAGAATAGAGTTGCAGGGAATTTCTAGGTTACAAATCAGTATATACAGTTGTAAATGTGCCTGGAGGGCAGAGATCCAGTTCAGAGTGCCAGGTCCAAGAGCTTGTACGTTTTTCATTTTGGTGCCCATTACCAGATGCTTCTGCAGGACAATGAGGACCAATTCATACTCCTACAAACTGTGAGGGCATGCCTCTGACCCCCAACTGCCTGGGTCTCCCCAGCTGCAGAAGTTGATCCTGCTTCTGTCTGTTGGGTAAAATCAGCTCTTAGAGTGGTCCCATCTGCATTTCTTTTACCAGGAAGCTGAGTGCCTTTTTGCTTGTTTAAGAACCATTTATGCCCCCTTTTCTGTGAACTGACAGCTCATAATTTTTGCCGATTTTTCTATTGGCTTGTTGGTTGTCATCCTATTGATTTATGGGGACTCTGTCTGAGAAGAATTACAAATGTTTTGCTCAGCCTTTTTATTTTTTGTCTTCTGACTTCGCTTTTGCTCTTTTTTTCCCCTCCCTGCCAGGTTAAAAATGTATTCACTAAGTGGTTTTTATCTGTTCATCCTTTTTAATCTCATCATACTTGTGTTATTTTTTATTTATCAAACTATAAATTTGACCTTTCAGGAATGTAAGTTGCTTTACGGTATGAGATGAGGCCATAATTTAAGGTTTTTTTTTTTCCAATATTTTAATTTTTTTTACATCTTGTCTCAGAGCTATTTCTCTCCCCCACTGATTTGATATGCCTCCATTACTAGATTCCAAATTGCGCTTCTTTGTTGTGACCACTTCTCAGCTCTCTTTTCTATTCCTCAATTTCATTTCTGGTCACTCCCGTGCATTTTAATTATTATAGTTTTACAATGTACTTTAATAGGTCCTAAGGCTGTTCTCTACTCCTCTGTCCAATTTTTGGCTCCAGAAATTGCCTGAATTACTCTTTGTTATTCTACAGGAACTAGAATAGTCTTACCGAATTACAAAAAAATCAATTTTTACTGACTGACAATCATACTAAAGTCACAAAACCACACAGCAAAAGAGTTAAACATGTATGACAGTATCTTTCTGTGTCAACACTCCCCACCCTGATATGCTGTCTCGTTTTAAGACTTTTCAAGTTCTTTGCTCCAGCATATCTAAAAAACAAAACAAACAAAAACCTAGATATTGTATGTATGAATGCATAGATACGTGCTGTGTGGATAGACAAAGTTAGTAAGTTTGAAATATAGAAAAAATTCTTTGTACCATCAAGATAATAGGTACCTAGGTGTCATTTGCCCAATTCAACTTTCACGTGTGCCTAAGAGGGTTTATAATATAATGGTGAAGGCAGAAAGAATATTTAGAAACTTTCTCCTTACGATCATGCGGAGTGGCTTGGATGAATTCCTGAACATTCGCTGGTGTCACTGGGAGAAACAGTCCCACCAGTCCACACAAAGGATGGGTTCCGATGGGTGATGTGCAGCCAAAGCGAGATTTTACCAATAATCTTGGCTTTTTAAGGATGTATTTGTTTTACTGGAAAGGCAGATCTAGAGAGAAAGAGTTTTAGAAAGAGCCTCTGCCCGCTGGTTCACTCCCCAAGTGGCTACAACCGTCAGAGTTAAGCCGATCTGAAGCCAGGAGCCTCTTCCGGTCTCCCACTTTGGGTTTAAGGTCCCAAAACCCCAGGCTATTCTCCACGGCCCTCCCAAGCCACAAGAAAGAAGCTGAATGGGAAATGAAGCAGCTAGAACTCAAACCGAATACTCACATGGATTGTGTCCGGCCCTGATTTTTAACAATCTTGTGAGATCAGGTGAGTTGGCCCAACAAGGGTGCTTCATAGTTACTCTGGATTTGCCAGCATACAGGTCTCTCCCCCAGTTTCTTACTGGCTGTTCCCTCCTGGGATATAATCTTGTCTGTACTTGCTTTTGCTGTTTTGGCCACACCTGTCATCATGCTTGCCTGAGAATTTTTCAGGTGCAGGTAACTGAACCACTAGGCTAGTTCGTGGCTTGTAACTTCCCACACATCTGCAGCCTGTATATTAGCTGGTTACCCACACATAATTAAACAGCTGATTTTGACAATGAAGCAAATATTTATTTCTCACAATTACTGTAATGACATCTTTTCTTCTTTTTGTCTTCTGATTTCTCACAGTTTGGTTCCTGTATCTTATTTATTTTGGGTAATTTTTATTCAATTGAGAGGCAGGTTGAGAGGCACGGAATGCTCTTCTGCTGATAAACTTCCGGAACACCTGCAAGGTGGGACTGGTTAGGTCCGAGCTCGGAACTTGCTCTCCCACGTGGGTGGCAGGAACCTAATTACCCGTCCTCACCGGGCTTAACATGTACTTTGAATCCTGGTATTTACAAATATTTATTATTGAATTTTTAAAAGATTTATTTTATTTTTATTAAAAGTCAGATATACAGAGAGGAGGAGAGACAGAGAGGAAGATCTTCTGTCCAATGATTCATTCCCCAAGCGGCCGCAACAGCCAGAGCTGCTCCCATCCGAAGCCAGGAGCCCACAACCTCCTCCAGGTCTCCCACGCGGGTACAGGGTCCCAAGGCTTTGGGTCGTCCTCCACTGCTTTCCCAGGCCACAAGCAGGGAGCTGGACGGGAAGCGGGGGCCCCTGGGATTAGAACCAGCACCCATATGGGATCCTGAGGGGCGCATGCAAGGCGAGGACTTCAGTCACTAGGCTACCGCACAGGGCCCTATTGTCGAATTTTGATGGCTTGTATTTTGCTTGACTCCTCCCCGACAAGCAAATGAGACTCGGAA